AACGCTATTAAAACCAACTCTTATTAAAGCCAGCTCGGGTTCTGCGCGCGGACTCACCTGTCAGGTAAAAGCCGCACGTTAAACACCGAATGAATGAACGAGAATGACAGCGGAGACCGACAGAAACGGGAGCGGAATACGTGACACACCGAGAACTAATGACGTGCGCGTTCTCCCGTGACCCCGGCGATGAGGATCGATCAAATAAAGCCCAGTTCAGCAGAGCGAAGCTGAAGCTGAAGAAAACAGCGATTAAACGTCCGCGCGGAAGAGAAGCGCTTTACCTGAGCCGCTGTCACCTGAGTTCCCGCCGCGTCCCACCTGACCGACCGCTCGCGCACTTCCTCAAGCTGACGCAGGCCTGCGTGCGCGCGCCCGGTTCTGACCCGTTCCTCCCGAAACCCGCCGCGTGAGACTCTGACGAGGCGTTTTAACGCGCGTCTTCCGTTTCCACTTCTGCTTCTGAGAACGCGTCAAGTGACTAACGCTGAATTTGCATGTCAAATAATAGCCGCTCATAAACACTCGCACGCGGATGTAAATGAAACGCTGTGTGTTTGCATTAAACCCAGCAGCCGCTCTGACGCGCAATATTATGCGCTTATTAATACTGAGAGTGCTGTGTGTGTGCACAGTTAAAAAGAGTGCTCCGCGCGCTAATTTTGTGCTTGATGTACTAAAAGTGATTCTTCAGGACTTCCTCAGTGTGCTCCGCTGTTTCGGGACACCGTGAATATGAACTCAAATGCGCTTTTAACACTCTCTGAATTAACAAAAAATCACCACTTGTAGTAGCTACACTTGAACCATGTTTCATACTCTCGAGTGGTTACTAAATGCATTTTTTAAATACATAGTGTGTTAAAAGCGCATTGTAGTTCATATGCATGGTGTCCCAAAATAGCACAGATGAGTGCACTTACTAAAGAATCACTTTTAGTATATTAAGTACAAAATTAATGCGCGGAAATAGAGCACTTTAGGTACATTATAGCAGTGTATTTTTCACCTGGGTGTGCTGCTGTTATTAATCATGTCATTTTGGCTGCTGCAGGAACAGGTTAAGAGTCTGAATCAGAAAGAGCTTTAATGCTTGTGCATAGAGGAATCTGTTTGAGTGTCACACGCTTCCAGTACACTGAGACAACAACACACAGACAATAATAAATAAGATGAGGATACAAATACACGTGTGTAAATATAAATAAACAAAAATAGAAAAATTAATTGAAAAATTAAATAAATTGTATTGTATGTACAGTTGTGCTATAGATAGAATAAGATGTAGGGATGTACTAGAATGTGGGGTGGTAACAAATATAATATCTGTGACCCTGGAGCACAACAGCAGTGTTAAGTCGCTGGGGTATATTTGTAGCAATAGCCAACAATACATTGTATGGGTCACAATTATACATTTCTCTTTTATGCCAAAAATCATTAGGATATTAAATAAAGATCATGTTCCATGAAGATATTTTGTAAATTTCCAACCGTAAATATATCAAAACTTAATTTTTGATTAGTAATATGCATTGCTAAGAACTTCATTTGAACAACTTTAAAGATGATTTTCTCAATATTTAGATTTTTTTGCACCCTCAGATTCCAGATTTTTCCAGACATGTCTCTGCTCATAAGGTAGATTGTCTGGGGGAAGAAACTGTATTCACAAGCTGAAGATAGTGTTTCTGAGAGAACAGCAGATGGAGAAGAGAGATATGAGAATGCTTAGAAATGAAGGAGTGTGTCAGGATGAGGTTAGTGTTTAACAGCTCACGCACACACTTCTATTCACTGACTTCCGCTTTGAAGTGGTTCAGTGTGTGAGTGTGTGTGTGTGTGTGAGTGTGAGTGTACAGGTTTATATATTCTGGTGGGGACTTAAACCTGACTACACACAGACTCATGGGGACTCGTGTCACGGTGGGGACCTAAATTGAGGTCCCCATGGGTACAAATGCTTATAAATCATACAGAATGAATGTTTTTGAGAAAGTAAAAATTGCCAGCAGTTTCCTGTGAGGGGTAGGTTTAGGGGTAGGGTTGGTGTAGGACAATAGAATATACGTTCTGTACAGTAGAAAAACCATTACGCCTATGGAGAGTCCCCACAAGGATAGTTGACCAGACGTGTGTGTGTGTGTGTGTGACAGAGTGTGTGTGAGTGATTGTGTTTGTGTGCGTGAGAGTGTGTGTGTGTGAGAGGCACTGAGGGGGATCACAGCAGAACATCCAGAGACGTGTCCTCACACACCTTCACATCTCCTCACAGGTGTGTTAGTCTCTCCCCTTTACGTTGTATCCATATAACTATCATTATCTGCAGAAAATTGCGTATTTTCTGAATAAAAATGAGCTGTTTTTCTCCTCCATATTCTCACTGTATGAGCCATAAAAGCCTGACGCATCAGATACAGGTGTGCTGGAGTCTGAGCAGGTGTCTCTCTCAGGTGTGTTCACACACGACACGATCTGACCTGGAAACAGCAGCTCGAGAGCAGGACAGACAGAAGCGCTTCACAGCATGCTCCGCATCTTCATGTGTTGATTCATATCGCTGCAGGAGTCAGTAAATGAGCTTTGGACTCCATCTAGTGGACATTATTGGAGCTGAAATATTAACTTTAGTCCCTCCTGCGAGTTTAATTTAACATTTCAATCGTTTGCCAACACATTCGCATGTTCCCTGTTCTCTGGTGCAGCAAACAAATGCATTATTTCACCCTTTTCAGTAAGAGTTTATCTATCTATCTGTCTGTCTATCAGAACTCAACACTACTCAAACCCTGCCTGTAGTTTGATTAGAAAGATCCAGAAACTGGATTAAGGCCTTATCTAACAGCACCAAGAGAAAATAGGTAGAAATTCTTCATGCATACAGTTTCTATTACAACAGAGAACACTATCCTGAATCCCACAATGCAAAGCGCATGATCTTCAGTCTCCTGTGTAACATATCAGTCAAGACTGTTAAAGTGACAGTTCATCCAAAAATGATCATTCTGTCCTCGTTTAGTCTCCCTCATGTGGCTCCAAACCTCCACGACTTTCTTACTTCTGTGGAACACAAAGATCTGACACATGAATACATGTAAACATAGATGAGCTCCACTGCTCCTGATCCTCTCACACAAACTGTAACTGATGTGCTGTGAATAAACAGCTGTAGCTGAGCTCCTCACTGATCATGAGACAACAGAGCTTCATTACACTGTCAGGAGCAAACGAGCCACCGGCCCCTGACGAGATGCAGCTGCGCAGCACCACACACACACTCTCTCTCTCTCTCACACACACACACACACACTTACACAAACTCACACACACACTCTCTTTCTCTCACACACACTCTCACACACACACACACACACACACACACAAACACACTCACACACACACTCTCTCTCTCTCTCACACACACACACACAAACACACACACACAGACCAGCAACTGAACTTGTATGTTAAAAATTGTACATTATAAATCACACAGAATGAAGTGTTTTGAGAATCTAGAAATGCCTGTAGTTTTGTGTGAGGGGTAGGTTTAGGGTAAGAGGATAGAAAATTCAGTTTGTACAGTATAAAAACCATCATGTCTATGGAATGAACCCATAATGATAGGAATACCTGTGAATGTGTGTGTGTGTGTGTGTATTAACAAACAGATACAGAAAACTGATTCTAAATTCACTTTATTCTGATTTGGCAAAAATCATTTTTCACATGTTCTTCATTATTTCTCTTAAGGCCAGTTCACACCACACCGACAGCTGGCCGAGTACAGTACATCATTCCAAGACCCAACAAACACCGATTCAATCGATAAAAACAAGCGCCGACCAACGGCAACAGACACCTACGGGTAACAACCAAACCCAACTACAGTGTCTGTTTGTCAGTGTCTGTCAGTGCAGTGTGAACGGGCCTTTATGTCATTGTATTTATCATTATAGACTATTATTTCCTTTTTCTCAAAAGCTAAAGCTGTGAGAACAAATAAATATAATCATTTGGTCCTTAAATGTGAAATCTAGGCATCATGGTATTGAAGGGGAAATTAGACAATCTCACTATCAGCACAAAACACTAAGAAACAGCACTGGGCACAACATGACAGATTCATACTGGGAAAGGTGTGTGTGTGTGAGTGTGTGAGTGTGTGTGTGTGTGTGTGTGTGTGTGTGTGAGAGTGAGAGAGTGTGTGTGAGAGAAAGTGTGTGAGTGTGTGTGTGTGTGTGTGTGTGTGTGTCACTGAAGGGAAGCGGCTACAGTACAAGAGCAAGAGAAAGATGAAAGCTGCTCTGGTCCAGATGAAAGACCATAAAGCGTCGGATGTTTATCGTGACACTAACGGACAGAGAGAGGCAGACACGCTCTCGGAGGAACTGAAGCGCTGCTGTGCGCTCGCTGTTTAGTGCAACACACAATCAAAACAAAACACTAGTTCAGTTACAGCAGAGTGAGAATATGAACGTTAAAGTCATATTGTCCAAAACTAACATCAAACACCTGAGACAACAAACTACTAACGGATTGCTTCTATTTTTTATCAAAAGAATTATACTGATATATATATGTATTCTTTACAGTTATTTAAATAAGTATCGTCACATCTGTGATGCTAATTATTAGTTATGTAATGGGAAAATGTTACACTTTGGTGATTAAAAAAGAGACAAGAGGGGAGAAGCTGGAAATCAAGGGTGATATTTTCAGATATTAAACGCCAGTCAGTTTATGCAGACTCAGGTGGTGAGGTTTCTGATCATGCTGACACGGGCCATCAGTAAAATAACATTAAACGCTTTAACTAAAAGCCTCACACATAAGGTCAATGCCAATATTTTGTGAGAGAATGCAAAAGCTTTGAAATGCAATCTCATTTTGTTCCATCACAGTGTCCCTTTAGGGAATCCACTTATATATTCTTGCATCAATGAAAGCACCAAATGGAAACTAGCCATAACAACAATAGTTCTCTTTTCCTATGAGAACATAAAGCCAAAATCAATTCACACAAGAAATCCTGTAGCATTGCTTCATCATTTGATTCCCTAAATATGTCCTTTGGTCATTTTTCACTCGCGTCTCAAGGCGGTGAGATTTTAAATTTGATTTGAAATCTTTTGATTTGCATACTGATCAGGTAATCTCTGGCTAACGGTTTGACAAAGAGAACGACAAAACACAAGTACACAAAACTGGTTAGAAGGATACAATTGTAGTTTCTTTTTTTCATGTAGAAATTATTTTTCTGCTTAACACACTATGAACAATGCACCATTTATAGTTTACAGGCAGTGTACACTAAATCAACACAGATTCGTTCTGTCGAAACGACTTTCCAGACTCAAATTGTATTATTCCAGTATGGTGCCCAAAGGATTCCAGGACACTTTATATTAGACTCATGAACTAAAGTGCAAAAAGATTTGCTATATTTCTAATCCTGTGACAGAAGTTCAGTCACTAATATTCGATGACAGAAGGTGTGATGGTAATTCCCTAGCTGGTGCTCGGCTTAGAGAGGTCATTTTATAGTCTCCAGGCTGTGAGTGATCTGATCAGAAAATGCTATTTGTGTTCTGGGGGAGATGTTATATGTCTTATAAAACGTTCTCTGGTGTTCTGATACTTTTTTTTTTTAACAAGGCTGTGCAAATGCATCTTAAAGTAGTGGCAGTTTTGCAGTTGTTACATTCCCTTTAAGACATTTTTGGCAAATGACAGAATGTGCGTCTATTCTGTGAAAAATGTAAAAGCATTAATTTACCAGATCCCTGTTGAAAAGACCAGCGTTTATACAGCGTATATATTAAGTATGACTTTAGGGCCTCTGTAGAAAGATCATGCTGGTTGTCTAGCACAGTGGTTCCTATCCGTTTCTGGAGGTCCCCAAACACTGCACATTTTCAATGTCTCCTTTGTCTGATACATACCAATTTCAGGTCTTGGAGTCTCTACTAAAGAGCTGATGACCTGAATCAGGTGTGAAACATGCAGAATGTGCAGTGGTGGGGGCTCCACAAGCAGGGTTGGAATCCACTGTATCTTGCATGTTTTGTTGGAGATCAACATGAATACATTGGTTCACCAGTCAGACCGCTGCAATTCAAACTGGTCTTTCTTTGCCTCTTTTGTTGAAGTGGAGATGGACTGGAGGACTGTAGATGAGGAGGCAGTGGAAGCAGGAATGGGAGATGGACTTAAGGTTGGAGTGGACAGAACGTTTAAGGTCTGAGTCTGGCTAGTAGCGGGCTTCTGTGGCTGTGAAGCAGCTGGAGATGGAGTTGATGAAGGAGAAGGTGATGGTGCAGCAGCAGGGGCTTTAGCAAGTGGAGCTTGTGTCTGCGACTGGTTCAGAACAGGGGTTGACGGTCCACTTTGGGCTGGAGTATTGATGGGAGAGCCTGGGGTCCAGGAAGGGCTCAGAGTCTGTATGGTAGTTGAGGTTTGGGTTTGACTGGAGACTGCAGAACAAGTCGAAGGAGGACCAAGAACATGGACAGCGGCTGGCATCTGGACAGCAGCACTCTGACCCATGGTGGAACTCATAGGTTTACTTGGAGTCTGAGTGGGAAGCGGACTCTGAATGGAGGTTGAGGTCAGAGCTTGTGCAGCTGCTGGGATCTGGACAGGAGTTGGACACCGACCCTGGGATGGGGTTTGGATGGCCACTAGTGTTCTAGATTGGGTGGGGGTCTGAATAGGGGTTTGAACGGGGGTTGGGGTTCGGGTCGGGGTGGGGGTTTGAGAAGGAGTGATGGTGGGCGTTGAGTTGGTGGTGCAGGATAATGGGGACGGTGGAGGAGGCGTCTGAGAGGGTTTGGTACGGGAATTCTGAGCCAAAGAGGTGCCGGAAGATGAAGTTGGAGAGGTGGAGGTGGACTGAGAGGGAGAAGGAGGGCGTAGGCAAGGAGGAGGAGAGGTTGAAGGAGGAGTAGGTATCGGAGTGCCTGATTTAGCTCGCTGGGTTTGAGGAACCCCTAGACCAGAAGATGTGGCCGCGAGGGATAAAGGAGGGTTGGTGGAATAAAGAGGGGTTTGCTTTGAGGAGAACGAGAAGGGGGCAAGGGGTGACGGAGTTGATCCTGGAGCTGATGTGAGTGGAGGTGTGTGTGCCAACAGCAGGGGTGTTTGTGTCGGCACCTGTGTGGCACCAGGCGCGTTTGAGCTCAAAACACCTGCACTTCCTCCTCTAGCAAGTCCTGATGACAAAGCGAAGGGTGCCGGAAGCAGGTTTCCTCCGGATGCTTTGCGATGGAGAGGCGGGTGAGGTTGCACGCTCGCCCAGCTGCGGTGGGGGAGAGTCGGCTGGGAGGCGGAGAGCAGTCTGGCCTCCTGGGTAAGCCGACCAATCATGGGGAGGCCCTGGGTGCTGCCTCCTCCAACATGACGTAGTAAAGCCGCTTTGGCCCCCTGCGGAGCAGAGCCAACATTGTGCCCTTCGACGGACATCGCCGCCACTGCTGAAGGGGGAGGAGGGGCTTTATGGACAGGTAATGTTGTGGGTTCTGTGTGGAGGCGGAAACTATAATGAAGTGTTCTTCCAGCCTGCAGGGGGGCGGGCACTGACGAGGCAGGTGTAGGAGGAGTTTTTGCAACTCCACCCCCTAAAGGAGCCATGCCCACAGCAGTCGGTCCAATAGTGGAGGGCGAGGGTGTAGGAGTTACAGAGGACGGGACTCCTCGGGGGGGCATCCCGCCCATTACGCCGATGAGAGAGCTGAGCGACTGCCGAGGGTGTAGTATGGGAGGACGGGGAGGAGAAAGCGGGCAGGACGAAGGTGATGGTGAGATGGGAAAAGCGGAGGGAAGGAAGATGGCAGCTCCAAGGGCGTGTTGCTGTTGTAGCTGCTGCTGCAACTGTTGCTGCTGCTGTTGCTGATGCATCAAGGCAATGGCCACGTTGGTGGTAGCAGCGGCCGTCTGGAGGGGAGCATGGACCAGCGGTGCCCACATCACCGGATGAGGTCGGGGTGAGACTGTGCCTCCCGTGCTGCCTCGGGTGCCAGCGGCGATGTCCTGCATGGCAGGCATGCTATCGTGCTTCACGATCTGCTGGACCAGAACGCTGTCACAAGAACCCAGACCGGCGCCTCCTGCTCCTCCTCCGCGGCTCCCTCCACCCCGTCCCAAACTGCTGCCCGCTACAGATCCTCCCTGTGAGGTCTTGCGCAACAAAATCGAGTTCTTCTTACCTGTGAGAAAAAGGAATTCAGAATAGGGTTAGGATAAATTATTAATGTGCTTGTCACGTATGGACTCATTATATGGTGTTTTGACATTTTTTGTCAGTTCCCATTTCCATTCTTTTTACAGTAAACGTCTGGGATATGGATTTAGAATGACATGAAGGTGAGTAAATGATGACCGATGTTTTCAATTTGTCTCTTTTTAACTACAAAATCAGCTATAAAGTTGGAGGACGGTTTTACCGATGCGATCGAGTCTGTCCGCTGCCACCGTCTCGAAGGCCCGTCTCATCATGGGATGCTCTTCCAGAACCTCATTGAAACTGTCCACACTGAGGGAGTAAAGTCTACAGTATGTATCTGCTCGGACACTTGCTGTCCTCCTGCCGTGCGTCAACAGACAGATCTCTGAGGGATAGAGAAACACCACGAGGAGGTTAGAAAGGACTCTTTAGGACAATTAAAGACTTAAACAACCAGACCAAGGCAATAAACCTGGTTCTGAAGAGCTCATAACAAATATCTGATATCAGCCACTTCACAATCAGCCCATAAACTCACCTCCAAAGTATGACCCATCGCTGAGCTTGGTCTCCTTGTTGCCACGAGTTAGTACGCTGACCCGTCCGTGCTGGATGAAATACATTTTACGACCGACAGTTCCCTCGCGAATGATGAAGTCATTGGGCTGGAACACCTCAAACTTCAGCTTCGTTAGCACTGCCGTTACGAAGTTTGGGTCGGCGTTAGCGAAGAGAGGCATGTTAGCCACCAAGCATCGGCAGTTGAAGCTAACAATTTCCTGTTAGGATCACAGTGCACAAGTAGACATTAATTAGCTGGTTAAAGTTTGCACAATGCAACAACAAAAACACAGTTACCACCACAATAATGCTGATGTTTTCATTAGCTTCAAATATAAACTAAAATAGTCCTGCGATATCTGCTTGTGTCTGAAAACACAACGAATTTCAAACCTAATGCATGAAATGAGCTGAATAGTAAACTTTAGGGAGTCATGAGTTTAGTACAAACCTCCTTTAAGGGCTCGCTTAGCTCTCCCAGAATGTTGTCCTCGTCAAACATCTTGCCCTGGTATCGATGTTCATAATACTCGTGGATCTTCTGCCTGACATCTGCTGGAAGCTTATGGAACGACATGTACTGCTCCACCTGCTTATACTGGACATCAGATGCTCTCCGTTAGTCAGAACGACAGCACATCAGACTGATTGGGAATTATGGAATAGATTTAGGTTGCTTTCACACTTGTAGTTCGGTTCTCATTGTTCGTTTGGTCCGGACCAAAAAAGAAAACAATACATCTGGTCCTGGTCCGCTTAGCATTCACAAAGGCATTTTTGACAGCAAACCTAAAGATACCAAACCTAAAGGCATAGTCATACGTTCACAACCTGATTGGTCCGGTTAAATGACGTATATTTCGTTACGGAAATTACCGCACACACCAAACAATTCTGCTCATTTTGTTTTGGAAACACCGCTCGTTCCGCGTCGTCAAATCATGTCGCATAGCATCGCATCTTGTCATTACATCCTGTTTTTGGTTCGTTTAGAAGTATTTGGTCCATGTTGGCTTCATATTTCATTTGAACCGCACCTGAGTTCGTTTGGAAGCGGACCGAGACCCATCTTTTTAGGGGTCTCGGTTCGCTTCTTTGGTGCGCACCAGGGTTCGGATGGCAGCGTTCACACTTACTCAACCGAACTGAACCACACTAACAGAGCAATCGCACCAGAGTTTGTTCTAATCGAACCAAACATGACAAGTGTCAACACACCCTTAAAGACAATGTATTCATGAAGTCACCAGAGATCAACATCGTCCAGGGCTTTACCTTCTCCTGGTACTGTCGGCGTGAGGAGTCCAGGGACTGGATGAGGGCCGTGGCGTGGCCGGTGAACATGGCGTAGCAGGTCGCGCCCACGATCATGCTGAGCATCGTGAGCCAGACGTCCGTCATGAGTGCAGGGGATGGGGGCCGTGGCGTGGCCGATGAACATGGCGTAGCAGGTCGCGCCCACGATCATGCTGAGCATCGTGAGCCAGACGTCCGTCATTCCCTCTGGAGCCTGAGCGCCGTAACCGATGCACAGCATGTGACTCATGGCCTTAAACAGTGCATATGTGTATTGGATGCCCCACGTGTCGTTCTGAAACACAGATCACACGATGGACAGTAACGACAACATCCACACCATCTGACTGATGCTTGAGCTTCAGCGCTATCAGACGGATCACAAACACGTGACTCACAGCACTGGGGTCAGTTTAGGGTTTGGGGAAAAATGTCTATATAAAGATGATCCATACACCTTCATTTACTGGCACTGGAAATATGATCAACTCTTTTTGTTCTTTATTTGTTATCTCGTTTTATCTCTTTTCTACTGTACAGATTTAATTTTACATACATACATACATACATTAATAAACATTATTATTATTATTATTATTATTATTATAAAGCACCAATTTCCATAAGATTCCAAACAATAATTAAATTCCCTTCAGGACTCAAAGAGATTTTTAAAAAATACTGTAAAAAATACATTTATAATTTATACTAAGGTTTAACAAAATCCAATCAGTGATATTTTAGTATCATTAAGGCACTAGTTTTTTTTATAGTATTTATTAATATTTCGAATTTCGAGTTTTTGGTTTTATATTTTCGGCTTTCATGTTAATTTTAGTTAAAGTTGTAGCATTTTTTGTGTTTTTGTCATTTTTATTATTACATTTTGTTTTTAAGTATGTCTATATAGTTGTTATTAATTTTTATTTCATTTTTAGCTATTTTAGTACAAGTTAAACTAAACGAAAATGAGAAATGTTGCCCTGAAAAGTTTTTATATATTCTATTTTTATAATTATTTCAAGTAATGAAATATTTTTTAATGGTTTTTTAGATTTAGTTAACTATAATAACCCTAAATCAAAGCAAAAAAAAATAAAAAATTAAAGGAATCCAGTTTAGAAATTGGAATTAAATCAAACAATATATTTAAATATAAAATCCCCAAAGGTTAAAGGTTAGAATTAATATTGAATTTATATTGAAATCAAACTTCAATAAATAATAAAGTCCACACTGACTCTATCTAGGTTAGTGGTGGGATGAGGCTTCGGTTAATAAAAATGTGCATCAGTAAATACAGAAAGTGTTGATGATAGTCAGTGATAGTTAGTGATTAGGTTTAGTCAGTGTTAGTCAGTAATAATCAGAGATAGTTAATGATTAGGTTTAGTCAGTGTTAGTCAGAGATAGTTAATGATTAGGGTTAGTCAGTTTTAGTCAGAGATAGTGAATGATTAGGTTTAGTCAGTGTTAGTCAGT